AACGAAATAAAATAGGGTTTTCTACAAGACAAAGTTCAATTATATAATACAAAACGAAATAAAGTTTTACATCTTACTGTTCTGTACCAGTATAGGATGATGAAAATTCAGTACAAAGCAGTGTGTAATGAGGGAAATTTTGTCAAGACGGCAGCAATATCTTTAGCTTTATTCAAACTGTGCAAGAATCTTATTGTCCTACTAAAAAAACTACACTCCATAAAACAAAATGAAATTGTGAAAAAATAATCAAATTAATCTATAAAAATTGTGATATTCAGGCAAAAAATGGAAGAATAATATTCATAAATTTCTACAATAATGCCAAAAGAACTGTTAGAATATTGAATTGCCATCTGTGTCTTCATTATTTCATGATAATTTTGACTATCAAGGGAAGTAACCTATATATAATATAAAGAAGATAAATATTGTAAATTAGATATATCGGAAATGATGTCAGTTTACCTCTTTTCTTTCATACAATTTCAGTATTCCATATTTTGAATTAAAGAAATAAAATGTTCACCTCAATAATGTTGATTAATTTCACCACCAATATAGAATTTACAACTTGTTTAATTAACTCTCTCCAGAAACTAACTATATTCCTTAACGAGCTGAGTAACGAGATCTTCTCATTAACCAATCAGATTTCTTCAATAATGAGAGTTTTATTACAATGTATGACGTTAAAATGACGTGTTTTATTGATATAGAACTATTATTAAATCTTGAAAAACTATGGTAGAAGATGAACAAAGTATAAAAATGTTTTACTATCTTGTTGACTTACAATGAATAGTAGTTTCCAAGCTATTTCAGTCTTCACACCCCTAGAGCAATCACCTGGACCTTTCACACCCAAAAATTTGTTTCATCCACATTTCCAGCATTGATGATGTGAGGTGCACTCTCAACTCAAAATAAATTCTTCTCTTACACCAGTTCACCACATCCCTGACACCCTAATCCTTCACCCCCTGGGGGTGAAAACACTCCAGCCCAGGTTGGGAACTAGGGACTTACAATAATCAGGAAGTACAGTGATGTTAGTGAAAAATACCTAATAAATACTAATTGGAAGGGAAATCTAAACAGTACAAGAAAGCTATAAGCCTTCTGAACACAATAGTATCAAATAATTAAATCTATTTTGTCCTGGTGATTTTTAGACACAACATTTACCTGGTCAAGTTTACTCTACTAGTAATAAAGACAATTCAAACCTTCCACTCAATGACTAATATTTAAACACCTTGTAGTTATAATTGGTGTATAAACTAAAAGAAAAAACAATATTCAGAATGGTAGTAAAATGATGAACTATAATACAATATAAAATATTAAACAGTGATGATAATTTCACAGTTATATTGATTGATTTTTATCATATTTACACCATGTTCAAACTTTTATCAATTCAGTTAATCATCACCACTGTTCATAGGATACTTTTCATTAATAGATAGAGATGTTCAAATTGAATATTAGAATAATAAAACCTGTCAACCTGAAACCATATTAAACTTTTATTGTAGCTGCTGTTAATTCATTATTTAAACAATCTGTTATCAGATCAGCACAAAAACACTTTCCATTTCTTAGCATAATGTTAAATTCTTTCTCTATTGTGACTGATGAATTAAAAATCAACTGTATACCAGGCAATGTTGAGCTCTAGTCAGACAAGACTGGTAAATACAGTCAAATCAACAATCCTGATAATTAACTAAAATACCTATATAACTTGAGGATGTATTGAAAATTTAAAATCAATCTAAATGGATGTCAGATAAAAGTTGTCAAGAATTTAACAGGTGAGAAAAACAACTGATCAAAGTTGATGGATATTTCCTTGTTTTAACATTTTTTAACAATTTATTTTTCAATCTCGTTCAGCTGTTAGACACGGCTGCCAATCAAAACTCGTGATATTTTTATCTTCTTGTTTATTTCCTCTTGATTTAATACTGCTAGTAAATATTACCTTAGTTAACTAGAAATTATAATAAATTAGAATTGTATCGCTCCGTCCTTTCTGCTCTAGATTGTAGTAACAATGACATGAACTAGAATCTGTGTTAGTAAAGTTGATATTGAAATCTACCTTACTAGAATAGGAATCAGGAAGATTTGATTTAATTGACCTGACAGTAGAATGCAGAAAATTCAAATAATTTATTTGTATCAGCCTGATTAATATAACACATGACATATTGGTCATCTCAATTCTACGTGAACTGACTGTAATTTGTATGTTTAACATCCTGAATCAATAGCTAGAAGTACAGTCAGTGTACTGGTCAATCTAATGGTCAACAGAATGGTCAATCAGCAGATATTGTGACTCTGGATTGAAATACAAATAAAACAGTTGGTTATTGTCTATTTCTATGTCTGTGATTTAACATTAAGACATTTTTGATATTAGGGAAACATTTTCGAAGACATTAGCACAGAATAGCCTACTGGTAGCTTGCTTTTGATAATGAAATTCTGTTCCAATTACTTATTCTAAAAATGACTTTCATGATAAGGTTTTATACACATGGTGGTCGAAAGGTTTTTTTTTGATAACCATAGTTTATGCAGCTTCAAAAAGCAATACGGATGTCATACTTGAATTCCTAATCAGGACAAGAATATCATACCCAATATAATATATAATTTATTGTTATTAGTATTACCTAGACATTAACCACAGACCATCATTCTAGCATGGCATCTCTAATGTCCTCATCCATAATTACATACAATAAACAGGAAGTGAAACATAGCATCTCTAATGATCTATTAAACCACTAGAGTATTTAGTTAACCATTGAAAGTCATTGAGCAGTTGTCTATAGAATTATTCATGGTGCCAGATATTGGTTGATTGATCTTAATGTCAGGATAGGACTAGAATCAGTAGACTTTCTGACTGTTGTGATATTCTACTCACTGACTGAATACTAATATTACACTCTGTACAGAGTATATTTATCATGATGAATTCAGGAGAAACTCCTACAAACTATGTTGTGACTCTTTATGTCACCTTGAATAAGTCAATAACTCACCTCACTTTGACAATGACAGGCCAATTAGACTACTGTCATGGTATTGTCCTATAGAAGCACTGGCCAAGGTTGCAAGTAGAGAACATGGTATGACTAATAATTGCTTTTATTGTTTTTATGTGTATTATTAAGTTTACAGTACTATTAATGACTAATTAACAGACCACAAATAAAATATGATAAGAGGTGAATGGAGTCAATAAAACTATAAAAATTATTCTATCTTTTTTTAAATTTATCAAAAGGCTTCTACGCATCCAACTCAGGTGTGAGCTTGTTTCACTAGAATCTTGAGATCAGGCCATGTATTCTGGAAATGATGTTAGTGCTAGAATGTCCTAGAAACAATGTTAAGTACCTAGGACATCCTAGCGCTAACATCGTTTCCAGAATACGTGGCCTGGTCTTTTATTTCACACCAATCTAAATAAAATATCTCAAAAACAGAAAGAGATTGATGAAAAATTAAACTGATTTGAATCTTTAAGATATATCTTAGAATTAAAAAAAAAATTTTTCATGATTTGATCAAGCTATCATTTAAATTCTGAACCAATCTGACAAAAAACTTTATTTTCTACTAGAAATTCAAATGAATTAACCGAATCAATTCCTATAGAATATTAGGGGTAAAAACTTTGAAGAAATGTAAATATATTCTGTTGAAGTGTATCACAATTTGATTGATTTCCCCTGGGAGAGGAACAATATACCATACCAAACATAGTCCGAATCTTACTTACTATCCTCTTACAATTCATTCTGTCTTGAGGGGAAGAATTTTAATAGTGAATATCCTGGGTCAATCTCATCCCAAAACTCTTCACAAAAATATAAATACTTAGACCGAATCTTACTTATTATCCTTTTGTCTTTACTGTAATATTATCATTATTCCTTGGGGCTTATTTTTATGGATTTCATGAATCAGTTAATTCAATAATTCACAAAACATTAATTCATCATTTAATGGTAATAATTATCTAATTGTTTTAAGGAGGAAGGCAAAAACCTAATCACTTAGCAGACGACAATCTACCTGGCTATCTACAGTACTTAGTGAGATATTCCACTGTTAAGGGCTACTAGCAATATTTTAAACCATGATACAATAAGTTTCGGACAATCGGTAACTGTGATTTATTTCAACCTTTTACTTACAGTGGCTGGTATAATTCATCACTTTTAAACTTTTAACTTTACTCATTCTTTAGATTGATAACCATTCAATTCATTAGAATCGTTAGCCTGTATGAATATTCATGAGGCTAAAAGACTTAAATTGTTATAAATTGTATGAATATTGTAGAAGCTAATAGGCCTATTCATTAATTGAATCTGAGTTTTTCTGTTGTCAGCGAGATAATTCCAAAATTCATTGTAATTCTGGTTTTCTTAACTTTGAATGTGTATCAGGGACACTGATTGCAAAGATTTTCACCATTCCATAATCCAATGCCAATATATTTCTCAAGATTTCAAAGTCTAAATTTCGGCAAACAGACACACCAAATTAAATTGTTGCAGGTGCCCGTTTTAATTCTAGCCAAAAAGCACATAAATGCATACATTGATATTTGAAAGTGACCGACAAGAAGCATTTCTAGAAGTAGACCAACATGTTTTATTGGTTTACTGGGTGTCTAAATATTAATTAATTCAAATTCTTACAAACCTTTTCGATGTCCATTTAAGAACGCATGATTTCTCTCCCTTTTCTTTGTTTACCTTTTACACTCAAATCATGGAATGGATTAAACAGAAACGAAACTATCGGAATTTAAAACTATTTTTCTTGTTTCCGACAAAAAATTTTATTTGGATTAATTTCGTAAATGATTTTCATTAAAATTTATCATAAAAGGGGAAAATAAACAACCAAAATTTAAAATAAATAAGATTTCGTTTAAATTAAATGATGAATTATCCCAAAAAGTTCCCGCCAGCATAATATGTCAAAGTTAAAATATCAACAAATAAAATGAAATTTTTTAATCATGAATTCAGCAATGTAATTTATTGGTATTTTATTCCTACAACAGTCAAATATTCAAGGTAATATCGACCAGATGTATATTGAACCTGTTTTCTCTCTTGATCAATAGATCTTTACACCTTTCCTTTCATTGTATCTCTGCCATCAGACTCTGGATCTGGTTAGTTAGACAGTCTAAACTTAAGGCCTTAATTGTTGAAACCTTAGCCTTGGTAATGTTATTTTGAATATGGATAGACCTATGTCAACAAAAAAATAACCTAAAATATTAGCAATGGGGATTAGTTTCATTTCTGTCAGAAACTCTGAGATTTGTAATTCTTCAACATTTTATATTTTAGATAATAAGTTTACGATGAATTAATTTTCTGAATATCCAAGATGGCATTCAGTATGATCAACTTTCTAAAGGAAGATGTCAGATTGATGAAATATGAAAATCAAATTTATAAAATAAAAATTTCATTTGAAGAGGAACAGAAACTTGCTGATTTTGTGCCAAAATTTTCCCAAAAGGAAGCCCACCAAGAATTGGAACAAGTCATCAGAGCTGTTCTGTGTGCAGTTGATAAAAAACAGAATTTGAACAAAATTCAAAGTGATAAATTTGTTGTTAATGTGAAGACCAAGCCATGGGGCACGTCTCAAAAATTAGGATTTAGACAAAATGGCATGCAAGTGCCCTCATATCCATTTATGATTATTTTAAATGTGACAGTGAAAGACTTAGATGAAGATGATGTTTCAATTGATGAGGAAATCTGTGTTCAAAATGAAACCCTGTCAAAATCAAATTCAAATAAAAATCTGAAAAATACCAGTACTGCTATAAATTCTAATGTGCGTGTTTCTGAAAAAAGATTACCTGGCACTGAATCTAACACCAAGACAGCTAATAAAGCCAACCATCATCAACACCAGAAAGAAAAAGTTTTGTCCACCAACGTAGAGACTAATACCAATACTGATGATGTCCTTTCAACTCAGGATATTTGTGATCTTTTAGACCAAGCTCGACAACTAAATGAGGTGGAAAACTTGGAAGCATTACAACAAGAAAGAAAAGAGAGGAAGGCCAAAGAAGATTTGGAAAGATTTGCCACAAAATATGCTCAAAAAGTAGTGAAAGAAACTGAAAAAACTCAAAAATTGCCCAAAAATAAAATTTACAATGTTCCTCAAAAAATTGTTTTTAGTCCTGGAAAAAAGAAAATATCTGATTCGTCGTCGATATCTGAATCATGTTCACCAAAGATAAATGAGTCACAAAGACAATCTGTGGTAGATGAGAGACAAGTTACTTCCCCTGAAGTAATTACAGGAAATTCTGAGAGCAGCGCTGATGAAAGTTGTGAAACATCGGAATTAGAAAATCGCAAACGGAAATTATCAGAACCCTCACAAAGTCAAAACTCTCAATCTGAAGGTTTTCCAGAAAAGCGTGGAAGGGGACGGCCTCGTAAACTTGATCAAGCAAGTTTGCTGGCATTGAAAGAGCAAAAGAAGGCTGCCAAAAAGAAATATGTGGTTAATCCTGAAACAAGAAACTTGATGATGCTGAGAAGAATAGTGGAAAGTTCTGACGAAAGTGAAAAGAAGCGTTTACGACTTCGATTACCATTATCCAATCAAATCCGTAAATCTCCCAGAATTCAACAGAAAGGTTCCAAAGATAAATGGTCGAATAAAAACAACAGCGCAAGAAATTCTGCAATTAGTGTGAATAAACTAAGAAGTACGCGAAGAGATCGGCATTTAATAGAACAAGATGAATTGGCTGAAGATATGAAACTACAACAACTTGCCAAATCATCTCCAAAACACCGAACTTCATCTCGTGTAAAACGTCAGTCTTCAACCTTGTGGGATTATATCGTTTCACCAGTTAAAAGTATTTTTTCATAATGACACCAAAGTTTTAACTGTTAGTAATCCATACGCGACATTGTAGAGGTAGAGATCAAATAACGGAACACAATTTTATGGTTTACTACTCTACTAAAACTAAGGAGTAGTATACCATAAAATTGTGTTCTGTTATTTAACTGTTATTGTTAAGAAACTATTTTGAAGTTATTTTGCTGTTTTTTGATCTATGGTGTTAATTATATAATTAATTCAATCTGTTATTTGATCAGATGATGGGAACGTCATCATCACATATTTCTGTTTATATCACCATCACTAGACAAACATTTTCATGATCATTTCTTATAAGAATTGTCATAATTGTCCACAATATTTAAATTGACTAAAGCACTTAAAACTACATCAGTGAGTTTTTGAATTTTTCCATGTTGAATTTGTTAAATTGTTATTTGATTTTATTTGTATAAATTATCAATAAAATTGATTTATATTTAAACTTTGTCATTATTTTAGGTTGGGTACATAGCCATTATGAGGTCTTTGTTGTTTTACACAGGCTAAACTGGTCCGCCATTCCATCTAAAGCTTTGCCCTGAAGAAACAGCTTGGTTCTATTTTCATGAACTTTGACCCCCTGAGTTAGTGTAGCAATAAGCAAACATGAATTTATGCTACAGTGAAGTTAATTGGGTACAATGTCTTTTCTTTTGAGGAAACTTTTCCCAAAACTCACTCACATAATTCAAATTATAAATTTTCTTGTGCTGAGCCTCAACCTTTAGAAAAGGTATTAGTAGGTTCGAATCTTATTCAAATGAAGACACCATGGCCAGTGCTGTTAAGCCCAGTCGGTCAGTCTACTGAACGATCAAAGGGAAACAACTCTATTTAACAAAATTCAAACTCTTTAATATTAAAGATAAATTCAGTGGTCTATATTTTGCGCACGTTTCGTCAGATTGTAAACAACACTAGAAACTGAACATATTTTGACTAAAATTCTATAATTTGGTTGAAATTTGAAAGAAACTGAAGATGCCAACCGTGGGAGTGAAGAGAGACGAGCTTTTTGAACTGCTCGGTAAAAAATATAGTGAGTATTTTAGTTCATGAAATAGTATTTGAAAATGAAATCAATTTTGCCCCTCCCCATCCATTTTGTAGATTCATTTATTCGCAATCAAATCAATTTAGCTACTTAGTAAAATTACGTCTAATGAAAATATTGTTGGTCTTCCTTCTACTTCTGAGGTTTTTTCTTAGTAGTAGGATGTAAAACTTCATTTCATTTAGAATGTCCGCCAATCTAGGGGGTTAAAAAGCAACAGTGCCCAAAATAGAAATAAATAAAATTGCCATGTTCTCTCTTTTCTAGCCGATGAAGAATTTGATCAGTTGTGTTTTGATTTCGGTGTTGAGCTAGATGAAATTGTAAGTCTTTTCTCTGTGGACACATTTCTTACGTGTTTTTTGTAAAGCAAAATTCTCATTTCATTTTAAGTTCTCTTCGCTTGATTGATACTATTTATATTTAACAAAAATACTAGGGGTACGGTATATTATAATACACTTATTTGTATAAAATATTTGATACAATGTATGATTGAATAACAGAAAACAATTTAATGGTATATCGCTCCAACAGAATGTAGGATTGCATGTCATGTATATTTCTGGTTATATTTAAGACATCAGAGAAAGAACAGATAGAAAGAGAACAAGGTAAAGAAAAGGCTGTGGGAGCCTCGGATGTGGTGGAATATAAAATAGATGTTCCTGCTAACAGGTAAATAGTTAACAACATATTTAATTTCAAAAATAATATGAACTGGTCTAATGTTCTGATGTACATGACTGTTTTGATTTACATCCTGGTGTGCTGAAATTTCTCAACTCTACTATGGAAGATAACAATAATTCAGTCTATTTATAACACAATTGCAGGCCTGAGAAAATTTATTAATTTCTGTTTTGATTGATGTGATTAAGATATGTGTTAAGATGTATTTTGTTTTGTTTTAGATATGATATTCTATGTGTAGAAGGGTTCTCTCGTGGTTTACTTGTTTTCTTAGAAAAGTAAGACAACGTTCTTTCATATTATGATATACCATTCTGTTCCTGCAAGTGGATATTTTCAGAATTTCTATGGTTTTGTTTAATAGGACTTTTTCTTAGTCCTTATAAGTAATGTATGATGTGGCCCAGTTCAATTTGGAAAATGACATGTATTATATTTCTGTAATTCTGTTTTCAGATTGAAAGCACCACGATATAAAGTAGTTGAACCTAGTGGAAAGAAACATCAAATGACTGTTCTTCCTTCAGTGAGTATTTAGACTATAAAATTCTCAGGCTGAACATAAGAATATTTCTACTCTAGTGTTTCTGTGTTGGCTGTATTTGTCACTCCTTTGCTAATTTAGTCCTTAGCATACTTACATGGTTTAGAAAAGTAGGATGTAAAACTCCATTCATTTCATGTAATTTCCCAGTATTGTTACTAAAATAAACTACTACAATAAACAAATTAAAAATAACAGACTCATCATATTTTCTTTGTGTTTGTTTAAATGTTATTTTCAATTCTTCAGACAGAACAAGTCAGACCATACGTGGTAGCAGCCATTTTACGTGACATCACTTTTACTCAGGTAAACTTCTTCGTTTTATTTTTCATATTTTCAAACATGTACTGTAAATTGTGAAGATTAAAAGATTGTAAGAGAGACAGAAACAACTATATTTTACTAGGATAACATCTTAGATTCACAGTTAAGGATCCTTTCTACCAGCGGGTCCATGGCCAAACCTCTCGGCATTGGTCTTTCCCGGATTATCCATACCCATTTACATCTGGGTTGACTGCTAAAAGAATTCCTTTTCATTCATTCCTTATAAACATAACTTTGACTTGTTGTTTTTTATGTCTAGGACCGATATAAAAGTTTTATAGATTTACAAGATAAACTTCATCAGAATTTATGTCGTAGAAGAACTCTGGTTGCTATAGGAACACACGATCTAGATTCTATTAAAGGACCGTTTGTCTACGATGCCAAATCACCAGCTGATATCAAATTTAGACCTTTAAACCAAGATAAAGAATATACAGGACAAGGCATCATGGAGTTGTATTCCGTAAGTTCTTTTATTGAAATCCCAGCATGGTGGATGGTTTTATTGATGCTTGTTTGAATTGGTTCTTCCAGCCAGTCATGTCTGGTTAAAGCACAGACTTGTCGGGCTGAATTAGGAAAGTCTTCATTAGAACAAACTGGACGACGCAAAGTAGGATCAAATTTATTTCACAAGTCCTTTTGTGTTGTCTGTTAAAATCCAATTCTTCTGATCCAGATATGAAATTCCCTGTCTTAAATCCCAGGAATGTGAGTGAAGTTTAAAATCCCCCTGCCTTAATAAAATGTCAATATATTTATTTTTGTAGAAAGACAACCATATAAAACATTTTTTACCAATCATAGAAAATAAACCAGTATATCCTGTGATTTATGATAGTAATAATATCATCTTATCTATGCCTCCTATTATTAACGGTAAGATTCTTTACTTAATTGATCATTTTACTCCTGTTCAATGAACTCACTGACTTCATTATATTCTACAATGGAACAATGTAACATTTGTAACTGTCCTGATAAGGATTGTGTATCTGAAACATGTTGGCAGCATGAGATGAACTCTAGTTATTTAGCTAACATTAAGCTGTGTATGAGAAAGTTAACTGTATTTCCCAAACCAGCTGTCCTGATGAGGATTTTGTATCTGAAACATGTATTAGCAGCATGAGATGAACTCTTATCAACTGAGATGTTAGGGGTATCTAAGTTACATACTCTTTATAGTAAATTATTCTGGTATTTCTAGGTGATCATACGAAGATATCAGTAAACACGAAGAGTGTTATAGTAGAATGTACTGGAACTGATTTACATAAAACTGAATTAACTCTAGATACTGTTGTCTGTATGTTCTCTCAATATTGTCTTAAACCTTTCACGTAAGTAGCAATTATCTCACAAAATATCATTTAGAAATTGCAACAAGGTTTTCAAATCTTTCATCAGCAAAGATTCAAAGCTAAATCTTGCCATGCCATGATACTGTTGTCTATATGTTCTCTCAATATTGTCTTCAACCTTTCACGTAAGTCTATAATTTCAGTGTAGAACCAGTAGAAGTTATCTACCCTGACGGAACTAAATTCAATTATCCTGTAAGTTTATTATAAATATTCTCAAGATCAGTTGAACATTACAAAACGATAGTATTTAGTCCTGTACAATATAGACGCCCTGCACTACATGTATGTATACATTCCAAAAAGAAAGTCAAAAACTAACTCCAGGAAATAACCTAAATAAGAATTATTGTTTTTTTTTATAGAAATTACCGTATAGATTTGAAGAAGTTAATGTTGAAAGAATAAATAAACAAGTTGGAATTAAGTATGTTTTTGAAAAATCTAATTTTGTGTGATAACAGGCTTATGTCCTGTCTAAGCGTTTGTTTGTGCAAACTGAGATTTCAGTCAGGTGTGCATATCTAAAATACCTCAACATGAGATTTCCCTGTTAGGATATGAACAAAATATTATACTCACTTTGAATAGTATGGTATCTTCAAATTCTAACTTATTGTAAATGGAGATTTATTTTGTTCTGAAATCATCTGAAAATAAATATTATTGACTGCGAAATACACAATTTCAGGTATGTCAACTCTCCTAATATGATAAGAGTTTGTTTCCATCATTGTACACTGCATTGCTTCAGTTTGTGTTTGTTTTTTGTACAGTATCAGTGCTGAAGATATGGCCAGGTATTTAACTAAAATGTGTTTACAATCAGAAGTTTTAAAAGACGGTAAAAATTTACGAGTTGAAATTCCACCCACTCGTTCTGGTATCCTTTCAAAAATATACGGTCTGTCTTCAGAATTCACAATTTTCAATTGATATTAAAAAATAACATACATTAGGATCATTAAAATCATGAAAAGTTGTACAAGAATAAAAAGAAAAATAAATTGGAATATGTTTTGTAAAAATAAGTGTTCTGTCTTTATCCTTAACGAAATGTAGATATATTACATACATGTGATATTATGGAAGATGTTGCTATTGGTTACGGTTTTAATAATATAATTAAAACTATTCCTGATACTAACTGTATAGCTAATCAGGTAGGTCTAATAGTATTTTAGTCTTATATATCATTTATAATATTTTACCAGCAGTGTAGAGATATTTAACATGTTAATATACAATAACACTAGAGATTTATCTGTTTAGTGTAGAGATGTTTAATATTTTACTAGCAGTGTAGAGATGTTTAATATTTTACTAGCAGTGTAGAGATATTTAACATGTTGATATACAATAACACTGGAGATTTATCTGTTTAGTGTAGAGATGTTTAATATTTTACTAGCAGTGTAGAGATGTTTAATATTTTACTAGCAGTGTAGAGATATTTAACATGTTGATATACAATAACACTAGAGATTTATCTGTTTAGTGTAGAGATGTTTAATATTTTACTAGCAGTGTAGAGATGTTTAATATTTTACTAGCAGTGTAGAGATATTTAACATGTTAATATACAATAACACTAGAGATTTATCTGTTTAGTGTAGAGATGTTTAATATTTTACTAGCAGTGTAGAGATGTTTAATATTTTACTAGCAGTGTAGAGATATTTAACATGTTGATATACAATAACACTAGAGATTTATCTGTTTAGTGTAGAGATGTTTAATATTTTACTAGCAGTGTAGAGATGTTTAATATTTTACTAGCAGTGTAGAGATATTTAACATGTTAATATACAATAACACTAGAGATTTATCTGTTTAGTGTAGAGATGTTTAATATTTTACTAGCAGTGTAGAGATGTTTAATATTTTACTAGCAGTGTAGAGATATTTAACATGTTGATATACAATAACACTAGAGATTTATCTGTTTAGTGTAGAGATGTTTAATATTTTACTAGCAGTGTAGAGATATTTAACATGTTAATATACAATAACACTAGAGATTTATCTGTCTAGTGTAGAGATGTTTAATATTTTACTAGCAGTGTAGAGATATTTAACATGTTAATATACAATAACACTAGAGATTTATCTGTTTCAGTTCCCGTTAAATAAATTAACAGATTTATTACGACAAGAAATAGCCGGTGCTGTT